TGTTGTCTATGGTACATTGTGGGGACCAAATATCCTCACAAGGATAGTAAAACCTGCAAATTTTGACATTGTGGGGACCGGTCTGCCAACAAAGGGCCGGTTGTAACTAAAACTGTACAAATGTTACTATTCCTTAACATATTGTTAAATAACTGTCTCTTTTTTTATTATTACTTATTAAAGTTACAAATATTGTATATGCATTTGCATAGATGTAAAAATAGCTATATGTTATTGATCTGTGTTATTTTAACATAAATCCTTTTAATTTATCAGGTTAAGAAATCACATTACTCCAAAGACAAATATCATCAAACACAAGTCATTACATTAACTTTGTTAAAAAAAAAATTTGTTACATTTGAGAGGGGCAGAACTATGGTGCAGCAAATAATTGTGAGCTGCTAATGTGTGACAGATGTGGTATTTAAGCAAAAAAAACAAATGAGCCCGGGTCTCATGAAAATACGTATCAATAGCACGATTTTCTGTTTCTATTTGGCATGCTAGTTATGTGAAGAAATTGACTTTGGCGTGCGCGTATGATACGCACGTGTTTCGCATGCATATGATATGCAATCAATGCTTGAAGTAGAAAAAAAGGAGTGGCAGTACTCAACCGCACTCCCCCACCCAAACATAAATACACAAATAAATAAATAAATACAAGCTAAAGTACTAAAAAGTTTTTATTTTTATAATTCACTATGAATGTATATAGTGCCACAATTAATTAATTAATTATTTAATTGTTTACAATTCGATTTACATTTATTTGTATTGTGCTTTTCATGGAACACTGTTGCAAAGTAGCTTCACAGAAAATGATAATTTCTACATTACATTTAGTAGTTTACACAGCACTTTTAATAAAAAATTTGCACAAGTCAATCTGCCATACCAAACAGGAACACAGGGAGACGCCAAAAGACCACTAAACGAGCTACCTGACCTGACTGATTCATGCAGAATTACTAAACCACTGACTAGGCCAACTGCGTAATCTAAAACACCTTCAGCCAGCATCCAGTATAAAACACTCGCGGTTTTAAGCCAAATAGCTTGCTGACATTTTTTTAATTGACATCTGTACGTGAGTAGCCTACTATTATCTCCGCCATCTCTGATTAAATCAGCAGTGTTTTCTCTGCATTATAGTGCTGTTTTGAAACTTACTGTTGGAATGCATTCCCTTACTGGATCCTTATAGACATTACAGGAGTTTACTTGTTGATCTGATCGCAAAAAGCCTGTTTCTTTTCGTTTTTATAGCATCTTGTTTTTGTTCAAATTTACTGATTCAAATTAATACTTAGGCCTATTATTTTACTACTCTGCGCTAGGGTGACCACCTGGCTATAGATCTGTTGCAGACAGCAGATGTGATGTTGCGGCACACGTGCGAGACAGATACATACTGTTATGCTATGTAAATACTGGTTTACATTCGTTGGCATATGCGCCGGTTTTGTTTCTGCTGGTGGATGCCCATACTCCAGGTTGCGTTTGCAACATTAAATTCAGGAGAGAAGATCATTTTTGAGTGCACACATGTAATGTCTGTCCGATAGAGAGCACGTCTGTTTTCTGTGATAGTGAATGGGAATCCACCTGCGAGTGGAGAGATTTGTACTCGCGCATTTGATGCGCTCTTGCAGGCTATAATGCGCTCTGGACATTTCTCATTAAATAGAAACCACCTCAAACGAACTATTGAAATGTAAAGAAAGTCGTGTCTGAAAGCTGCAATCTAATGTTTAATTCGTTAAATGAATAGAGAATATCGTGTTTTTCCGTGTGTGCTGCTTGACCATTTCTGTCTGTGGTGCTCGAGCACGTGATGGGGTCCGCTTTATTCCTTTGAGCCGTTCATCATCAACGGAAAACCCCCCACACCCCTAATGCTAACCATTGCATCATATGCACGTCCCTGCCATTGCGTATCATATGCACGGCAAAGTCAATTTCTGCGTATAAATAGCACGCCAAATAGAAACAGAAAGTGGTAATAGTATTGATATGCACTTTCATAATTTACGATATAAAGCAGCATAGATTTGTATTTTAAAACAATCATATGCTGTACGGGCCACATGAAACGATGTGGCAGGCCGGAATAGGCCCGCGGGACTTGTTTGACTGGATAGAAAATGGCGTTCGGTCAGTATAAATACAATAGAAGTCTATGGAAGATCCCCACAGTTAGCAGAAACCTACCGCGCGCACGTGTGTGTGTGTGTGTGTTCCACTGAATAAAAAATATACAGGTTTGGACAGATATGATGGTGAGTAGGCTAAATGATGACACAATTTTCATGTTTTCAACGTTTTGATTTTTCAGTATACATTAAAATGGCTCTCGCCGGGTTCAGTGGCAGCGCCTGTAATCCAGTTCAGTGGCGGCGCCTGTAATCCAAGCTACTGGGAGGCTGAGGCTGGCGGATCGCTGGAGCTCAGGGCTTCTTCTGGGCTGCAGTGGACTATGTCGATCGGGTGTCCGCACTAAGTTCGGTATCGATATGGTGCTCCTGGGGGAGCTCGGGACCACCAGGTCGTCTAAGGAGGGGTGAACCGGCCCAGGTCGGAGACGGAGCAGGTCAAAGCCCCCGTGTCGATCAGTAGTGGGATCGCGCCTGTGAATAGACACTGCAGCGCAGCCTGAGCGAGACAACGAGACCCAGTCTCTTCTTAAATAACTTAAAGGCTAACTAACTTTTTAATGCAGGGGTGCCCAAACTCGGTCCTGGAGAGCCAGTGTGCTGCAGAGTTTAGCTCCAACTTGCCCCAACACACCTGCCTTCAAGTTTCTAGTATGCCTATTAAGAGCTTGATTAGCTGGTTCAGGTGTGTTTAATTGAGGTTGGAGCTAAACTCTTCAGGACACCGGCCCTCCAGGACCGAGTTTGGGCACCCCTGTTTTAATGCATCCTTCAGAACAAAAATTGTAACAGTTGATTTTGTTTGCTAGATTTAATTTTTTTAATAGGTTAAATTATTCTGTAAAATATAAATATCTTCTGTGGAGGAGGACAAAAAATCTTAGCATCACACTATTGAACCATGTTACAATATTTGATAAAGACAAAAACATAAAATATATTGCTTGTTCTCTGTGCCACTTGCTGGTTTCACTGGATGAGAAAGCACTCTCTCCAGTCTGTTCTGCCTCTGTTCTGCTAGCAATGCTTCACACTTGATGTGTTTCTGTTCCTGCTCCCTGTGAAAGAGAGAAATCAAGTCAAGAGTGAGATTACCAAGAGGTTTTAAAGAGCCACTCAATCCTGCAGTTGGCTCAAACCTGCTTTTGTTGTGTTTTGGGTCATCGTCCATTTGTACTATGAAGCGCCGCCCTATCAGCTTTGCTCCATTTGACTGAAAACAACTGTCTGTTTCACTTGTATGGAGAGATCCTTTGACCGCATTTTTGTGGGTTCACAGCAACAGCTTCCAAATGCAAATGGCACACTTGGAATCAACTCCAGACCTTTTACCTTTTGATGTCAAAATAACAAAGGAATAGCCCACATCTGTTCATGAATGGCTTTTGGGTCAACTGTCCAATTAGGTCCCTACTTATGGTCCCTTGAAAAAGGGGGGAGGTGTGTGTGTGTGTGTGTGTGTCAGACTCTGTTCCATGTTTTGTCTGTGTCTTGCTCCCCAGGTGTTCCTTTCCCATGTTTAATTTGTCCCAGGTGTTCCCCATGATGGTTCATTGATCCCAGGTGTGTCTCATCATCCCCTCCTCCTGTGTGTATTTAAAGTGTTCCCAGTCCCTAGTTCTAAGTCTGCTGTGGAACGTCTTTGTGTGAACGTCTTCCTGTGTTCGTCTCCCTTGGTGCAAATAAAGTCTTGGTAAAGTATTCTCCAGCGTCTCCTCGTGTGTGTGCAACGTGACAGAGTGTGTGTGTGTGTATATATAATTCAAATATATTTAAATTAAAATCTAGTCCCTAATCTTCTGCAAAAATGCATACGATGCCTGACATCTAAAAGAATTTCAATCATATACAAAAAAAGTAACATTATTTGATACTACAACAGTAAAGTGATTACTTTGAGGTCGGTTTTTATTAATATGACTTATTTTTCAGTGTAACAATTGCCCCCGAGCACTGTTACGGTTATCTCCACCAAGGGGGCAATTGTAACACTCTTGACTTCTTGGATTTTAATTTCATATTCTTGTCCTTATTAGTGAAAAATCAATCAATTGTATTAATTACTGCACCTATATTTGTATCAAAAGATACATGGAAGAAATATAGGTGTAGCTATTTCAAGTGTCTGTAAACTATGAAGGAAAATGTAAAGAATATTACTGTCCCCGGTCTCCATATTTTTCTGAAACCGATTACAGTAATAGAGCTGATTATGAATAATGGTATCAGAAGCAACATCAGCACAGTTGGGATGTGCAGAAATAGAAACACATCGATCGAGCACATTAACATGACAGTGCTATTGTGCTTACCTTGCAAAAGCTGTTTCTTCTTTTACTAATTTTAGCTTCTCCACACACAAATCCTTAGTTCTGAAACATGACAACATGAACCTAAGCATATGGCAATCAAGGGTTACAGTATATAAACTAAAACTGGATTATTTAAAAGCATGGCTTTAACACATAACAATGTAAAAGTAATTACTATTGTTTGGCCTTCAAAGGATTTGAATCAAGGAAAGAGGCTATATAGAATTGGCCCAGTATTGTTTTGCCCTGAGCTCTCTTTGGGACATGTCTCTTTTCTCCTGAGAAATCTGTTGGGCCCCAAGTACACGGGATTTCCATTTTATTCATTCTATCAATTTGAGAATGGAACAGAGAGAAGTTAAGAAATCAGATGCTACACACAAATAATAAACCTAATCCACAGAATTTTCAAGTAGTAGATATTTCAAATATAAAATTTCAAGCTTATCTGAACTGGAATGATCAAAATACACAGCATTTGTTATTGTTTTATTGCCCAGCCCTAGATATGGAAAAGAGGAGAATGACATTTCCCCCAAACTGTTGCAACAGTGGTTTTAAAGGAGGAGGCTGCTCTGGATAATGTAAAAAATGTCACATGCCTTTGCTGTGCTGATGGGGCTTCTTCATGACTACATCAATTATGCTAGAGATCATGGAAATTGGCAGTGATGCATGATCTGTAGACTATGAAACAAACTGTAAGTGTATCATTTGTAAAAACAACATGTTAAATGCTTGTTCTGTGTTTAGTAGAAATGGAGTTCACACTCTGTCATTCATACACATGCTCACATTCTTTCACACTTATGTTTCTGTTAAATGTTATAATATCAGTGTTAATGTTGTGGTTTATTTGTGTACGGTCATGCCAGAATAGTTTGTAAAGAACTTATTACCTAATTGTACAATTATTGTATAATAGTGTTTTTGTATAATATTTTTATACAATATATAAAATGTACCAAAAAAGTCAAATTTGATAAGTTATATTCAACAAATGTTCAATGCTTCATTTTTAAACTCTGTAGCTGTTAATGCCACTTTTCTGCGTTTCTTACATGCATGTTACTTTTGACTGTTTCCCCTTGTTGTTTTTAATAAATATTTACCTTTCATTCTGTGTAAATGTGATTAGTGTTTTTGTATAATATTTTTATACAATATATAAAATGTACCAAAAAAGTCAAATTTGATAAGTTATATTCAACAAATGTTCAATGCTTCATTTTTAAACTCTGTAGCTGTTAATGCCACTTTTCTGCGTTTCTTCTTACATGCATGTTACTTTTGACTGTTTCCCCTTGTTGTTTTTAATAAATATTTACCTTTCATTCTGTGTAAATGTGATTTTAAAATGAACTAGATTTGTAGGTTTAATGCCTAGCTTGATTTGGGTTCATTTTAGCCTAGCAATGTAGTAAATTTAAACCATAAAAAAAGCAACCCAGCATGCTGGGTCAAACATATGACCCAACTTGTTGGGTCAAAACAACCCAGCGCTGGGTTCGTCCATTTTTGACCCAGCGCTGGGTTGCCAAAATAACCCAAATTGGGTTGTTTTTAACCCAGCCGTTTTTAGAGTGTATAGTTTGGAGGTTAAAAAGTTTGTACAGTGGTGTGAGGACATCATCTCATTGTAAATACTAAGAAAACAGAAGAAATTATTTTTGACCCAGGACATTTGGGGGGGACCACTCTCCATTACTGGTCCATAACATTTGTATTACCCAGGTTCATTCTTACAAATACTTTCCCTCCCTCCAAACTCTCTTTGAGAAGGCCATATAGTTTTAAAAGGCAAAGCCACATTCCTCTGGTTTATAACATATTAACAAATAATAAATTGATAAAGCTGTTTTTTTGAGAATAAAGCTGCTGCAGGACACAATAGTGGATATTTTCTTTGTATTGTCTCAAATTCTTAATTCAAGACAATCAAGAATTTCCTACAGAATTAGTTTGTTCCATCAGCAAGCTAAGCATGTAGTCATACTGTGAACTTACTCCTTCCTAAAAATCACCAAAAACACAAGTTTAAGCTCTTTTAATTCAAAAACCTTTTCTTTTCACAACAGAAAAAAAAAAAGAAATAAAAACAAACCAATTCTGGACTTGCAAGTGGCAGGTGTTCAATAAAACAATTTTAAAAATTCAGTATTTCAACAACAGTCCTATGTTTATACACTGCGTGAATGATTGCTGTTTGGAAGCCTTTATTTTGACATCTGAAATAAAGACACTGTATTTCTCCAGTGAAACTATGATGTGCTGCTTTTTGACACGTTAGTCACTATGATAATATTTCACTTTGGTTCTTCAGAGTAGGCCTCTAAACACAGAGAGGCTACAGCAAACTGAAAAAAAATCCAGAGAAGGTAGTTTGTGGATTTTTGTAAAAAGACCAAACAAATGCAGGAAAAAATTACACAAGCCTCTTCTTTTTTGCTGCACCTATCAGGAAGAAAATGGACAAAGAAGAAGGCCATAAAGAAATTCTCCACACAGTCAAGCTCAAAACATCACAATGCAATGTTTAATAAAAAAAAAACCATGAAGACATACAGATACAAAACATAGAAGTTTCTTTAAAAATGAAGACAAATAGATGCATTTAAGATGAAGTTCTGCATGACACCAGCTCCTGAGCTGGCGCTTTTACATCTGATTGGACAGATAGACCTGCAGCCCGACCAATCAGACAACAGATACAACTCTGAGGTAGATCAAAGGCCAAGCTGACCTGGACATCTCTAAATACACAACCACACACAGACACACAGAAATCTGCTTAACTAACTGTATGATAGACAGATGAAAGGCTTGTTTACAACCGGGTTATGAACCTGTGATCAAGTCTTCCCTCCGTCCAACTGCTTAGAGATGATCATGTGTCCACACTTACGAACTAGATTAAAGCTGAGAGCCAAGATTGAGGAAAAAAGACACAAACTACAATTCAGTTTGACCAAAACCCATTGCAGTAGTCCATACTATTGTGTTCAACAGTAGGCAGAAAAGGTCTTTGGTGGAAAGTGTCGTAGTTGCCTTGAAGTTGCACGTTTATTTATTTATTAAATTGCAAGGACGAATGTTTTAATTACATTATTTATTCAAAAACGTTGTGGAGTTTCTCGTTTGGAACGTATTTTTGCAAAACTGTGCTATTGTATGTCTATAAATGTATCCGTTAGGTCACAAATGTAGGTTTAATTTACATAATGAATGGCATTACTGATATTTCAAGGATTTCAAGAGAGCAAAAAAATGTTTTTTCTATAATCGACTTATGAAAAGTCTATTAAACAGTTAAATTTGTAAAGTTTCTTCTTGCTTTCTACCTAAAGAAACATTGCACTTCTGCCTTTTTTCTGAGCTTCAAACAAAATCCTGATGTGTTCAAAAAGGTAAAATAAATAAAAAATGGCACTGTAAATAAAATCGCAATCATCCTGTGAACAGAAGGAACAATGTCAGCTTTCCCAAATCCACAATATCCCTTTTATTAGCCCCACCCACATACCTCATCTAGCTTGACCCCACCCACTCATACCCCGCCTCCCACTAAACCCCACCCACCCGCATCTCAACATCCACTTCTACATCTACCGAAAGACTGTACACATGGATTCAGTGGAAAGAAGATTCATCCACAACAGACACACGATCCCTGAAACAAACGTGTTTGATTCAGAGCAACATTAAAAGTCAAACAGAAAAGCCTTTGCTTTGAGACAGGAGCAAGGACCAATAGCCATCAAGCATTGCATCAGCCATTCTAAACCCCACCCACCTTATTTAAAAGGTAAATATTTGAACTACTAAAAAGGCAGAGTGGAAGACCTAAAAAACAAACAGAAAGCTCTTCATTTCGACTCCAACCGCAAAAATGGTTTCTTTTGTCTGTTTGAGAAAGTCCATAAAAACGTAATAAAAAGCATACTTAAAAAAACATCATGCATCGAAAGGTGTCATCACCATCATCATCATCACTCAATTTTACTCACAGACATGGTCTGTGTTAATAGTTCTTGGTAAAAAATAAGCATTTGTCATCTCCTTCCTCTTTCTGGCAAAATAAAACTCTGCTCCCTTCCGTTGTCCATAATTGGTGTAATATTGCCTTGTCTTGATTTGTTGGAGAAAATGTTTGCACAAGAGTTTTCTGAGGTTTCTTGTTGATGATTAAATCATGGACAAATTTCCTGCAACACGTGCATGAGCGTCACTTCCTTTCTGATGTCACTTCCTCTAAATGAAAGCAAACGTTGTTACGGTATTAACACTCAGCAGACCGTGTCTGTTTCTGAGCTCAGATGGTTAACCTGGAACAAAAAACAGCACTAGTCAAACACTGAACGCTAGTGGTGTCCTGGCATATTAAAGGTGATTCAAAATCATTTTAGGACTTAATTTAATGGAATAGCTCACCAAAAAATGAACATGGGGCCGTCAAACTCCAAAAATGCCAAAAAGTACCATAAAAGTTGTACATATGTGCTCTATTCTTCTGAAGCTTTGTGTTAAAATTAAGCTGCTGTAACTCTAAAATCTCATTCAAATGTTGCACAAATCAAACCAGGTTTGACATCGATGAGACTACTTTTAAAGTAATTTTTTTGTCATTTATGGAGCTCAACATTTACTTTTATTATATGGTAATATAAGAGCACTGTCGGCATTCTACAACTTCTTGTGTTCAAAGAAGAAAGGAAGTCTTATGGATTTTGCAAAACTTGAGGGTGATTAAACAAAACACCGATCCCCACAAGAATAAAAACATAATTAAATACCGTTTTATTGCTTGTTTGGTTGGAAAGGGTACGATGAAGGATCTGAAGAGGACACATCTTGTGGCTGTACACCACTTTCCTGCTGAAAAGACCATAGGCAGAAATGATAAACTTGAATTTCATTAAGCAAATATCCAAAAATATTTCATTTTTTGTGTGGTTTTCTGATAAAAATATCTAAATATTCTCAAAACAAGATCAATCTGCTTGAGACAAAACTGTGTGTGATATTAAGAGAATTTTTCCCGAATAAAACTTTAGTAATCTGTCTTAATAATTCTCTTTTTAAAATATAATATAATATAATATAATATGATATAAGATAGTATTTTTCCAGTATACATTACCATTTACAAGTTTGGGGTCAGTAAGGTTTTATTTTTTTGAAAGAAAATATTACTTTTATTCAGCAAGGATAAATGCTGTTCTTTTGAACTTGCTATTCGTCAAAGAATCCAGAAAAAAAAATTATAAGAAATGTTTCTTATTAGAACGATTATTGAAGGATCATGTGACAATGAAGACTAAAAATGCAGATTTGCCATCTAAGGAATAAATTAAATTGGAAAATATATTCACAATATTACTGTTTTTTTTTTACTCTATTTTTTAACTTAAAATAAATGTCGCCTCAGGGAGCATAAAAAACTTCTATCTAAAAAAATAAAAAAAATAAAATCTCACCAACCTAAAAATAAAGGTTTATACATAGAATCTTATACATTTAAAAAGCCCAATCTGACATTAAAAATACACTTCACTTCAGATAAATTCTCTAAAAAGCTTTTTAAGATAGAACTGGACCAACATCTAGACAATTCAGAAGACTGTAGCAGCCGTGGTATAACTGTCATTGATAACCTGAGTGTGGGACTGACCTCAGGAGGGATGGCAGAGGGCTGAATGTGGGCATATTGAGGAATGTAAGCTCCTGACATTCCTGTGTTGGCAGGAATAAACTGCAGGAAAGCAGACCGATGTGGCTTTATTAAAAACACAGGTGTAAATATTACTTATTAATTAGCAAATACACTTGTGCCATATATTAGTGCAATCTGTGTGAGAGGATCATACGGTCGCAGTGCCGCCCAGAGAGAGATGGCCCATCTGCTGGCTGAGGGGAGCCAACATAGCGGAGGGCTGCAGTGACATGGGATGCTCCATAGAGGGCGACAGAACGGCTCCCTGAGTCAAAAAACAGAGTACGACAATCATAATCAGCAACTACAGAGAAAGAGTGAGAAATCCAGCTATTAATATACATCTGCACTAAATAAGAGAGAAATTTTGCCCACAATAGGGCAAAAACAGGAAATACGACTCTTTATGACTAGTTTAAGCAGTATTGTTTGTGAGTCATCTCCTGTTTGGAAGGAGACGTGAATAAAAGGAGAGATGCAGAGAGAATCTTTTGGCCTTACCGGGTGTTGCATGATGTAAGGCTGATGTGGCATCCATGAAGGATTCTGTACCTGGAGACACAAGCACAGATGTTAGCCAGGAAGCAGGTGCTGGTCAGAAACACTCACATCAACACCATGTGACCGTGAAGATGAAGTAGAAGATAAAGAGCTGTACTTGGTATGCAGAGATGGAAGAGATGTATGGGGACACTCCTGGCTGAGCCATTAACCGGTTCCCCATGGCATAAGGAGCAGCATAGTACCTGTAGCATCAGGATACAGTGTTTTTGAGGCTCTATATGACATCTGCACATCATTTGAACTATTTAATGGCAATTACACAATGCACTAAAACATATTTTAATTGGACTTAATTATGATTTCCTATTTTCAGTTTTGTGTTTATTTTATTATTAAAGTTTTGTTTGAATGTTCGCCGGTTCCCGCCTCTTTCTTCCCGAACTACGAACTTTGTTACATTCACCAAATTAAAATCTGTGATCAAATTGGCCCTAGTGAAAAATTTATTTGAAATACATTTATTTCATGCTAAGTACACTACAAATAAATGTGAATTACTGAAATAAATGAACTTTTCCACGACATTCTAATTTATTGAGATGCACCTGTAAGTGCTTTATAAAAAATACCCTGCAACTGTACCTTTAGTATATTTAAAGTCTGCTAAACTGGAACAACTAATTTTGTACTTAATGCACTTTAACTGTGTGGAAGTAGTGCTGACGTCCAAATGAAGATATACTGAAGTATATCTGATTGTGCTAAAGTGGAACTATTGCAAGTATACTTCAGGTACACTTTAAATATGTTGCATTTAAAGACCAATATCATTCAAAGATCATACAATCCTCATTAATAGTGACATTAAAACACATTTCAGGCTTAATATTAAGAAATGTGCATTGTGCACAAGTAATACTCCAAATAAAGTTTCATTATGATTTTTATATCAGTAAGTCTAGAGTGATATGTCAGTAAATATGTTAATAGATTGAACTATACTTAGTATGAAACTAATGTATTTGAAAAGTATTGCTTTTTTACTAAGGGGTACAACATGGCCATGACTGAACTACAACGAGGGTTTTAATTAGTACGACGTGCTCATGATTTAACTAAAATGTGGGAACAAATCAGTGCAAAGTGGCCACAATTTAACTTAAAAACAGCAAACAAATTTGTACAATGTGGTCTCCATTTAATTAAAACAAGGGAGCAAATTAGTACAGCGTGGCCTCGACTGAACTAAAACAAGGGGGAAAAAATCAGTACATCTTAGCCACAATTTAATTATAACAAGGGAATAAATTAGCACAACATGGCTATGATTTTACGTAACATGAGGGAACAGATTAGTACAACATGGCCACAATTTGACTAAAACTAAGGAAAGAAACTTGTAATTTGTGGCCCTGATAATTTTTAAAAATTTTTTTGCATATCATATGCAGGGCTCTATAGAATATACATTATTCTATATTATAGTAGACAATATACATTATGCATATTAGTGAGCAATTTAAGACTCGTTCAAGCTGTTCTTACCCATTCTGAAGGGCGGTGTTAGGGTCATAGGTCAAGGTCATTCCACTCTAAAGAAAGCAAAAGAAAAGTTGAACATTACTGGCTTCATACACATGATAAAGGCAGTTTCACTTTGCAATTAAAGGATTAGTTTACTTCCAGAATAAAAAATTCCTGATAATTTACTTACCCCCATGTCATCCAAGATGTTCATGTCTTTCTTTACCCTATTGTCATCCAAGATGTTCATGTCTTTCTTTCTTCAGTCGTAAAGAAATTATGTTTTTTTGAGGCAAACATTTCAGGATTTCTCTCCATATAATGGACTTCTATGGTGTCCCTGAGTTTGAACTTCCAAAATGCAGTTTAAATGCAGCTTCAAAGGACTCTAAACGATCCCAGCCGAGGAATAAGGGTCTTATCTAGCGAAACGATCGGTTATTTTCTAAAAAAAATAAAAATGTATATACTTGGAAAGGTATATTTATATACATGTATCCATCTAATTTTCTCCAACTTCAAAATCGTCCGACATCATTGTTTGACCTTTTTTGTAGAGGGCGTTTGACTTTCTTTGCATGTCAACTTTGTAAACACTGGGTCGGTGCTTCCGCCTAAGTCACGCGTGACCTTTCCAACGTGATTACGTAATGCGTGAAGTCAAGATGAAAATGGCCGATCGTTTCGCTATAGCAAAGACCCTTATTCCTCGGCTGGGATCGTGTAGAGCCCTTTGAAGCTGCACTGAAACTGCAATTTAGACCTTCAACCCGTTGGCTCCCATTGAAGTCCACCATATGGAGAAAAATCCTGGAATGTTTTCCTCAAAAACCTTTATTTCTTTTCGACTGAAGAAAGAAAAACATGAACATCTTGGATGACATGGGGGTAAGTAAATTATCAGGAATTTTTTATTCTGGAAGTAAACTAATCCTTTAATTGCAAAGTGAAACTGCCTTTATCATGTGTATGAAGCCAGTAATGTTCAACTTTTCTTTTGCTTTCTTTAGAGTGGAATGACCTTGACCTATGACCCTAACACCGCCCTTCAGAATGGGTAAGAACAGCTTGAACGAGTCTTAAATTGCTCACTAATATGCATAATGTATATTGTCTACTATAATATAGAATAATGTATATTCTATAGAGCCCTGCATATGATATGCAAAAAAATTTTTAAAAATTATCAGGGCCACAAATTACAAGTTTCTTTCCTTAGTTTTAGTCAAATTGTGGCCATGTTGTACTAATCTGTTCCCTCATGTTACGTAAAATCATAGCCATGTTGTGCTAATTTATTCCCTTGTTATAATTAAATTGTGGCTAAGATGTACTGATTTTTTCCCCCTTGTTTTAGTTCAGTCGAGGCCACGCTGTACTAATTTGCTCCCTTGTTTTAATTAAATGGAGACCACATTGTACAAATTTGTTTGCTGTTTTTAAGTTAAATTGTGGCCACTTTGCACTGATTTGTTCCCACATTTTAGTTAAATCATGAGCACGTCGTACTAATTAAAACCCTCGTTGTAGTTCAGTCATGGCCATGTTGTACCCCTTAGTAAAAAAGCAATACTTTTCAAATACATTAGTTTCATACTAAGTATAGTTCAATCTATTAACATATTTACTGACATATCACTCTAGACTTACTGATATAAAAATCATAATGAAACTTTATTTGGAGTATTACTTGTGCACAATGCACATTTCTTAATATTAAGCCTGAAATGTGTTTTAATGTCACTATTAATGAGGATTGTATGATCTTTGAATGATATTGGTCTTTAAATGCAACATATTTAAAGTGTACCTGAAGTATACTTGCAATAGTTCCACTTTAGCACAATCAGATATACTTCAGTATATCTTCATTTGGACGTCAGCACTACTTCCACACAGTTAAAGTGCATTAAGTACAAAATTAGTTGTTCCAGTTTAGCAGACTTTAAATATACTAAAGGTACAGTTGCAGGGTATTTTTTATAAAGCACTTACAGGTGCATCTCAATAAATTAGAATGTCGTGGAAAAGTTCCGTAAAATTAATGTCCAATACATGTAATGTCCAATACAGTTTTTCACCGTATATAGTAGGGGAATTTACCGTTAAACATTTAACAGGTTTTTACTGTAGCATTTTTACAGTCTTTTACCGTTAAATTCACTGTCATTTTTTACAGTGTAGACATGTTATCCCCTAGAGGATTAAATGAGGACTTTGATATTCGTCCATTTCTTTAAACATAAGATATCTATTTACATATAATAAACGCTTTGTGGTTATTGATTTGTATTTATGTACCCAGGCAGTCATCAATTAATGTTATTAAACAATATTTTGAGAATTATATTCGTGTATTTTGCATAGCTTTATATGTTTTTGATTTATTTTTATTTTTCTTATTTTTGTTTCTATGTTTTTCTCCTTGGTTGATATGTTATTGTTTTGGTATTATTATTATCACGATAATATTGTACGGTCATGTGACCTTTGATCACCTGGAGGTAGGCCTATAAAGATTGGGATATCAGTGTTGTTCATTTGTCTGATGAAGAGCCTGCGTGCTCGAAACATCACATATGCTATGCGACAGTCTTTTTCAAAAATAAATTTTTTGATACTTTTGGAGCTTTGGTGTTGCCGACTTTACATTTAAAAATTATATGTCTTGCCCCCACAATTAAAGGATTAGTTCACTTCCAGAATAAAAATTTCAATGAGGATCAAGGGGTTGAAGGTCCAAATTGCCGTTTCAATGCCGCTTCAAAGCCGTCTACATGATCCCAGCCGAGGAATAAGGGTCTTATCTAGCGAAACGATCGGTTATTTTCTAAAAAAAATTAAAATGTATATACTTGGAAAGGTATATTTATATACATGTATCCATCTAATTTTCTCCAACTTCAAAATCGTCCGACATCATTGTTTGACCTTTTTTGTAGAGGGCGTTTGACTTTCTTTGCATGTCAACTTTGTAAACACTGGGTCGGTGCTTCCGCCTAAGTCACGCGTGACCTTTCCAACGTGATTACGTAATGCGTGAAGTCAAGATGAAAATGGCCGATCGTTTCGCTATAGCAAAGACCCTTATTCCTCGGCTGGGATCGTGTAGAGCCCTTTGAAGCTGCACTGAAACTGCAATTTAGACCTTCAACCCGTTGGCTCCCATTGAAGTCCACCATATGGAGAAAAATCCTGGAATGTTTTCCTCAAAAACCTTTATTTCTTTTCGACTGAAGAAAGAAAAACATGAACATCTTGGATGACATGGGGGTGAGTAAATGATCAGGAATTTTTTATTCTGGAAGTGAACTAATCCTTTAACATTTAAAATATGTTAATAATCAGATTTAAATGGTTGGAAACCAAACAAAGTGTGACGTATGATGTCATGTAAGAATGGCTCATTTTGCTTCAAGCCACAAACACACACCCATTCACCTGCTATCACGCCACACACACACACACACACACACACACACACAATTATAAACAGGACTTACTAGTCTCACCTCGGCGTCTCGTGTCCAGGTTCGTCCATTGGTGATGTATTTCGCCTGACTCTGTCTCTTCTTCTGCCCGCCGTCAGCAAACTTACACAGCAAAGGTTCTGATGCACCTGTAACACACACACACACACACACACACACACATTTCACTTACAGTACAGTACAGACTATATAATCTATAGTCTCTAGCCTACATATAGACTATTAGGGCTGGGTATCAATTCAGATGTTCCAATTCGATTCGATTTCGATTTTCAAGTTCTCAATTCAATTCGATTTCGATTTTCTATTCGATTTCGATTCGATTTTTGATTTCAATTCTCGATTCGATTTGACTATATGAATGAATATAGATTTAATACAAATCCTATATTTATAAAAAATGAACAGTGAACATAAGATTACAAATGGTTAATTAATAGGAAATTAAGAGCCACAAACCTGTATATTAAACACTTTTAATTTTAGGTACACTTGGGTGCAATAAAACAAAACCCAACTCTATATTTCAAATGCATACAATGAATAGACAGAATTTTTATGCAAGATGAAAAACTGATGCTGAAAATTGGACAAGTCAGAACAGTCGCATGCCTTGATCAAACAGGATCAGGTTATTTTATGCTTAAGACAAAACAAACATAAAATCTCACAGCATTAGCTGTAACATGGAGGCTGCAAGCCTATGAACGGTGTAGGAAAACTAATACTGGCCTTTGGGTGATAGTTCACCCAAAAATAAAAATTCTGTCATTTATGCATGTATGAATTTCTTTTCTTCTGTTGAACACAAAAGAAGATATTTTGAAGAATATGGATAACCAAACTGTTTTGGTCCCCATTGACTTCCATATATTTTTCTCCATACTATGGAAGTCAAGTCAATAGGGCCCATCAACTGTTTGGCATATAGCTTTGTTCTTGTCCACAGTATCTTTGTCATCGTGCTTGCGAAATCTAAAATGCTTCCATACCTCTGACTTTTTATGTGAAGGTGGTGTTGACGTCGGGAACGCACCTGAATCCGCCATTTTAAGCAATGAATGAATGACGGACTCTCCGTTGTAACATCGCGCAAGGCAAATAAGGGGGTGACATCTAGTGGATTAGACTAGTAATAAGATTAACGTAAATCTTATGTTCAATGTTTGTGGAAATAAATATTGAAAAAAATCGATTCGTGGCCTTCGAGAATCGATATTGAATCGACCACATTTTAAAAAACGATATATCGAAAAACCTATTTTTTTGCCCAGCCCTACTATCTACCTACCTACCTACACTTCATATTTTATAAGCTTTTTAAAAATTGTAATTAAAACGACAGAATAAGAACAAGTAGAATAAGAAATATAAGTTACCAATCAAATGAAATCAGTATTAACTAAATTAATTTGTAGCGGTGGCACAGAAGAACACAAAAGTGGCTTGGTGTACTTTTAATTGACATTTAATGAGGCTCAGAAGTGGAATGAGTGCAATTAAATCCATAAATTCATGATGATATTAATGTTTTAAATATAACATTTTGAATATAGAAATATTAAATTATTTAAATAACTGAAAAGATACTTTTAAAATGAAACAATTAACTGGCGGTAAGTCACTGATTTTTATCAACATTTGAAGCTCCCCTGAGCGCAATCACAAGTATGATGATGATCGGGTCAGTCGCACTGGTGCTCCTAAAAAAATTTTTATAGTCGCACGCAGTAGTTTTTGGTCGCACTGTAGAGGCCTGGAAGGTGGTGTTGACGTCGGGAACGCACCTGAATCCGCCATTTTAAGCAATGAATGAATGACGGAGTCTCCGTTGTAACATCGCGCAAGGCAAATAAGGGGGTGACATCTAGTGGATTAGACTAGTAATAAGATTAACGTAAATCTTATGTTCAATGTTTGTGGAAATAAATATTGAAAAAAATCGATTCGTGGCAGAATCGATATTGAATCGACCACATTTTAAAAAACGATATATCGAAAAAACGATTTTTTTGCCCAGCCCTATAGACTATATATGCATTGTAAAGAACATTGTGCCGAACACTCACCTAGCATCCCAGAGGAGGATTTAATGAATTTCCCATTGAAGTGAGAGATCACGGCGTCGCACTTCTCTGTTGATTCCATCCTTAAAATAGAGCGAGAAAATTGAACATTTCACAACATATCCACACAAATAGCGTATATCTGACACTGATTCACACATGAACATAGCTGCACACACAAAATCAGTAACCAAATGTCACTGACCTGGCAAAACCCACTCCCCGACTCACTCCGTTAGTGTCACGGAGGATTCGGGTGGAGACGACCGGTCCAAAAGGTTTGAGTAGGTTCTCCAGCTCCTGCTCATCCATGGACACGGGCAGGTTGGACAGGTACAGGTTAGTCGGGTCCTGCTCCTGTTGCTGTATTCAGAAAACAAAACACATGGCATATTACACGCATTATTAAGCATCCTTCATGCGTCTATTCAGATGATAACAGTCACTGTGAGGCTTGACTTGAGTCCAAAGACATCATCTTAAATGTACTTTGTGTAAATGGTCAAAGTAAGCATTTGTTCTTCTGTTTTTTTTTCTTTTAGCTTGTAAGCTAACCTACTGTTCATGTAGCATACTGCTAACTGATTAGCCTGCTAGCGGTGGTTATGAACGAATGAATGAAATGCATTTGTCCGTGTTTCTCTCCGTCTCGAATCGCGCTCACGGAAAGCGATTGAGAAACAGTGTCTCTTTCGCGGCTTGGTACACTTTCAACTCATTTTTTTAGTCTCGAGCAAGACTAAGCTATTCAAAAATGAAACTAAAATTAAATCATCTTTGAGAGCAAGGGGGCCCCCTGGTGTTTCAGGGGCCCTACGCAGCTTGCGCATTTTGCGTATAGGGAGGATTGGCTCTGAATATACCTACTTGCTGTATCGCGCATGGCGGAGTTCTGCCCCGATCACATAATTTAAGATATGGGGGCAGAAAATCTATAAATTTATATCATTTTATATAGTTAATCAATATCACACAAAGAGTGCCATTTTTTCTTCAAAAATCAGCATGATTACAAATCTTATATTGATTCAGTAAACAATAAGTTAATATTAAGAGACTTACGTTTTAGTCACCATATTGCCTGTCTTTGCCCAATTTCGCCAACAAAAATAATTCCAAACACAGCCATCACAGCACTGTTTTGCATCTCTGATTCAATCGCAATGAATCACTTATTAACAGTGACTTGCTGCCACCTGCTGGCCGTTTTAATTTCACATTTAAAGTGCCCCTATTATGCCATTTTCAATATTGCCTTTCATGCAGTGTGTAATGTAGCTGTATGTGAATGTAAACGATCAACAAAGTTGTAAAGCTGAAAATGCACGATAAATAAAGTTATTGTCTCCCAAAATAATGAATCAACTCTCTACAGCCTAAACGAGTCGTTAGTAATTCCGTGACGGCTACACTTCATGGGGTATGGCTCAGTACCCTGTTTATTTGGACCAGCTGGCTCCACTGAATCACAAGTATGATAAATAATAGATGTTTATATTTTCTATCGAGCGTTCAAAGTATGGAACTATGGCAATAGGCGTATCGTTTCCGACACGCGCTGTACGCGATCACAACAGACTGGGCCATCTGACCAATCAGAGCAGAGTAGGCTCATGGAAGGGAGGGTTTTAGAGAGACTGAATCTTAGAACTGCTTTGAACGATTCGTTTGAGAATCGCTGGAAAATGAGGTGATATTAAATGCATATTTTGAGAAAACGAAAGCGTTTTTTGACCTTGCATGCATGTAATCCTATTGTAGGAGACTCCCAAAACAATATTAGGAACCTTAAAAATGGCATAATAGGGGCACTTTAAATTATCTTTTCATTTTTTAAATAATTTCAAATATCAGTATTCAGTGTTAAAATATCAAAACATTACTTATGCATTTGTAAGTGTAGATTAAAGCATTCCCGTGTAAATACATCTAAATGTCACTTCAGATGCAACTTCTGCAAAGATGAATTTCGTTGATATTGATTTAATTTGTTTGGTAACAGCCTAAATGTATTATTATTATTATAATTGACTGATTAAATGTAAGAATTTGACTCAAAATATGATGTACACTTTTAGAAAAAAATGGCTTTATAAAGGTAAGAATGCCCATAAAAGTTAAAAAATCAATTTAAACTTCTTGGAAAATATTAATTTCTATCACTGCTGTGAACTGACCACACAGAATACGAAGAATATCAAAAACTTTAGGAGTCAGTTGTCCATGGTAGTCCTTAAGATACCAGCACAATAACACACTCGGCAAAATATTGTCTAATTCAGGGGTGCCCAAACTCGGTCCTGGAGGGCCGGTGAATGTAAGAATTTGACTCAAAAGATGATGCACACTTTTAGAAAAAAATTCGTTTTAAAGGTAAAAATGCCCATAAAAAGGTAAAAATCAATTTAAAACTTACTGGAAAAGAATAATTTCTATCACTGCTGTGAACTGACCACACAGAATACGAAGAATATCAAAAACTTTAGGAGTCAGTTGTCCATGGTAGTCCTTAAGATACCAGCACAATAACACACTCGGCAAAATATTGTCTAATTCAGGGGTGCCCAAACTCGGTCCTGGAGGGCCGGTGTCCTGCAGAGTTTAGCTCCAACCCTAATCAAACACACCTGAAGCTAATCAAGGTCTTACTAGGCATACTAGAAACTTCCAGGCAGGTGTGTTGAGGCAAGCTGGAGCTAAACTCTGGGCTTAGGACACCGGCCCTCCAGGACCGAGTTTGGGCACCCCTGGTCTAATTATTGTTATTGATAAAATCCCAGAAAATATCGAGATATAATTTTTTGTCAATATCGCACACCCCTACTCCCATGGTGGTGAAGATGGCAACACCCCGCCCATTTTTTCCATTGGAATCATGTGTCCGGTGTTTCAAGCGTGAGACCTTCAGGTGGTTTATACTCTCTGTCTGTGCTGTGATGTGGTGCTTGAGTACTTTGTGAAGCCTCAATAAAATTCTGTACTTGTCCCTCAGCTAACAAGGACACACGAAACGCTACAAGCTGCATTTTGACGTTTGACTGGCTGAAGGCAGAATCTCAGCTCACTATTCTAAATGCCTCAGCAGAAATGAGGGCGGGCCAAGATAAGACGTCAACATTCCTCAACATGTATGCATCAGACATGTTTACACAGTAAACACACACAAGTAATGGGGAAGTGGAAGAGTAATATGCTGACAGTAGGGAGGAAGAGGAAAAAGAGGGCAGATTAAAAACTGAAGATGCAGGCAGAAACGCCCAGCAGAACCTAGGAGAAGGTCACTGCAGGATTGTAACAAACATACTTCTCTGAGGCACAAAGATACAAAGGAAATGCATGTGTGTGTGTGACTGGACAAGAAAAGGAAGAGAGGAAACGAGGAAGAAATGCACATGAAAAGACACCAGAGGTTAAATTTTAATGTTTTACATCAACATTTCCTGAATCATCCTAGCAGACAGGTCATGGACAAGTTACTTATAAAAAAGGAAGTGATGTCACAAATGGATGACTCACCTTGGCCATTTGAGCCTGAACTCCATTGGTCTTTAGTGCTGCGACGGCTTTTTGTGCGGACACAGGACTGTCAAAATCCACAAACCCATATCCTACGAAGAAAACACAATGCATTACCACAAACTATCTAATCTACAACTAACCACTAGACCAAACACACATCTTTAAATAACAACTCGCTCGTCACATCATCATGTTACCAGGGTCACAATTTGTAAGTGGTTTTTAAAATCGATTAGTGATGGTATCATGATAATATGATAGTACTTAAGACATATGCAATATTACTAAATGATTATCATATTCATGTATCATGGTATTTACACTACTCTTCAAAGTTGGGGTATGATTATTTTGATTTTTGAAAGAACTTAATACTTTTTATTCAGCTAAGACCAAGCGGCAACCTCCCGCTCTCTCTCGTGAAGCCAACACAGAAGTGACAAACTGTAATTCGTCAACTGGCCGTTAGAGAGTGTCTGCAACGTCCCGCCTTTTTGCCCATTTTCGATTATCCGGGAGTGACGCGTGGTGACGCGCTGCCAAGATGGCGACGGCCTGCTCCGCCCACTTTGAGTTTAAAAAACTCTCTTCAGAAAACTACGGGTGACGTCACGGACACTATGTCCATGTTTTTATACAGTCTATGGCTAAGACACATTAAATTGATCAAAAGTGACAGTATAATTTATACTGCATTTATAATTTTAAAAAACATTTCTATTTCAAATAAATGCTGTTCTGAAGGATCATGTGGCCTTGAGGACTGTTGTAATGACTGCTGAAAATTCAAAGAAATAAAATAAATTGGAAAATTAGTGCTGTCAATCGATTAGTCGTGATTAATCGCATCCCCAAAAAAATATTTGTTTACATACAACATGATGCATTAAGAGACGAGGGTCAAGGGTGTAAACATTTGAACAGGATGAAGATGAAATTTTTCTTATTTTGTTGAAATATTTTTTTTTTCCATTTAGTACTGCCCTTCGGAAGCAACAGAGAATGTTTGAACCTTCTGTAATAGTTGTGTTTGAGTCCCTCAGTTGTCCTCAGTGTGAAAAGATGGATCTCAAAATCATATAGTCACTGTTGGAAAGGGTTCAAATACACAAAGATGCTTGAAAAACTGAAGAATCTGCAGGAGCTGAAGGATTTTTCTGAAGAACAGTGCTCAGTTTAACTGTTCAGAACAAACAAGGGACTCATGAACAACCATCACAAAACAAAAAAAGAAAAACAGTTGTAGATCATCCAGGTAACGGCACACAGTATTAATAAGAACCAAGGGAATTGCGTTCTGGGCTCGTCTGCTTGCCTGTACGGAGTTGATCCTTTTGAAATCACTAATGCATTTCAAAATGCGCGTTCATATTTGCTGTTCTGTATATACTTTGAGTCAACAACAAGACATATAGCGATTGCAAGTGACATTGTAATTTAGTTTATTTTTTCTTGTCTTCACCACCTGGCTATACTGTTGTAAAATGTTGAGAGATTCAAACAAAAAGTAATCAATAAATAGAACAAAATAAATGCTGATTACAGAACCGGCTTTACCGATAAGATGCGCGTTAAATATCGCATGCGATTTATCGTGCAGCCCTAATTCAAATACAATTAAAAAATGTACAGTGACCCCAAACTTTTAAACAGTAGTGTATATGGTCCTGTTTTAAAAAAATACCATGGTAATACCAATTGATGTGACAAAGAAACATGGTATTACCAGAGTACTTTTCACACAGAGTTAAAAAAACACATAAAATGATATGAGAGTGTTAATTGTAAGAATAAAAAGTGTAAGAAGTGTAAGAATAAAATGAAATGACAAACCTTTGCATTTGTTTGTAGTCTTGTCAAGAATGGCTTTGGTGGACACGATTTTACCATATCTGCTTACAGACAGAGAAAACGAGTCAGTCAATGTGTCAAATGACACAACAGCACAGGAATTCATGACCTGCAGGACATGAAACACAAGATCTACCATAATCCCTGAGCTGAGAAAAAAATAACACCACCCAAAAGAGCTCTCAAAGTCTGTTCGAGGCACATTTAATTCAGAAACACAGAGTCACTTGTGACAGAATCATCGACAGACACTTGATGCCGACAGCCTGGGTGCTTTAGAGGGTCACTGTGTGACAGATGAGGATTGAGTTGCTGTAATGGAGTGTCCATGAGAAACCTGTTATTACAGCACACCAATCAACACGGTTCAAAGGAAACACTTGTCTTGGCATGTGTGTGTGTGTGTGTGTGTGTGTGTGTGTGTGAGAAAAGTAACTTGCGATTAATAGTGTGGGATAAACATTGGAGTAAGTGAATGGTGACCGACTATCTTTGCATTTTTTCATACAGTATTAAGAACAGTATGTGAGACTGTACAAATTATGCTATTAACATTTCATTAACAGTATATGCTACATTGTTGTGCACAAATCCTCACGCTATATGTCACTCACAAAAGTTGTGTCCAGTGTTTTATATTTGCTATTCAATTTTAAATAACATATTTCCTGGAAGTCTGACTGAATAATAAGTCAGAAAAGTAACAAAATTGTTTATTTACCTGGCTTATCTGTGATAGAAAAAATAGAAAACTAACTAAAAATAGAAATGAAGCATTGCATTGTGGGATACCACACTCGGTGCAGTTTACATTTATTAAATGTAGTTGGTCACACGAGCATTAAATGCATGCAGAATATTTACATACTAGTATGCACAGTACACAAACTTCCTATTGCAGAAACAGTGTGAGCAGCATACTAGCATGCTACTGTAAACACATTTTGAATTCTGCCAATTTTTCATTGAAAAATATGGTGGAGAGAAGAGACAGAGAAAGAGAGGGAACACTGGATTTCGACAAAATCTGGAACACAAACTGAACTACCATTCAAAAGTTTGGGGTTGTTAAGATTCATTTTATATATATATATTTTTTTTTTATTCATTTGACTGAAAGTACGATAAAAACAGTAATATTGTGAAATATATTTACAATTTAAAATAACTGTTTTGTATTTTAATATATTTTAAGATGTAATTTATTCTTGTGATGAAAAAGCTGAAATTTCAGGATCATTACTGCAGTCTTCAGTGTCACATGATCCTTCAGAAATCCTTCTAATATGCTGATTTGCTGCTCAAGAAACATTTCTCATTATCAGTGTTGAAAATGGTTGTGCTGCTTCATATTTTTGTGGAAACTTCATATTTTTTTAGGAAGTTAAAAAGCATTTATTTGAAATAGAAATATTTTGTAAAATTATAAATGTCTGCTATGTTTGACCAATTTAATGCATCACTGATGTATAAAAAAGATCTTACTGACCCCAAACCTTTGAACTGACACAACACAGCTATGAAATGACTGCGTTTCAAGTGCCAAAAAATAAATGTATTCTCATGCCGGCTTAGATTTATTGACGTCTCTCTCGGGAAGGCTGCGCAGGAAAGAGCCGTGACAGTAGTGCTGACTGGAAAGGGCTGTTTTTCATTCACCTTCACCGAGGGCTGCTGACATTTAAATACGCTCATATATTTATAATCCTTTTCCTGTGTCATTAAAACTCTGGCTGAGATGAATAAATATTTATTCAGCGTGACGCTTAGCAGAGCTGCATAAGCAAACGCTAAACAACATTTTGGGGCGCGTCCTGGGCCATGTCGTAAGAGAGGGAAAAGCGGGGCCAATCACATTTCACACACAGATCACAAGACTCCACGCACCAGAGGGCCGCGCAACCTTGGCCTTGACCCACACGCTCCGGCAGGGAGGCCCCATTTCCTGCCCCCACTGGCAGAATTCTGTCAGCGGCTCCCAAAGCGAGGCTGTTTTTCAGCCTGATGCGGATCAAGGCAAATCAATCCACGGCTCTGCCCTGAACGGTCACGCTCTGTGATTAAAACGGCTCCGGAAAGCGAGGTTACCATGTCACCGCAATACCTCAAAGCTGAACTGACACATTCCTCATGGTTTTAACCAAAATATACAGTTGTGATTATAACCGTGAAGTCTGTAGTATTGTTTTTAGTTATATGTACATATGACCTCAGCTTCACTTTTAACCAGGATACAAGCCAAGAGGATTATGGGCCCCCCATCTGACTCTTTACAATTCATTTGAGGGATTACCATGGAGATGATCCCGGGGGCAGCGAGGGGTAAATTAACCCACGGTGGGAATGTCTGAAAGGAATACACGCGGGATCGGGACGCCTCTGCACAAAAAAGCGCTCTCGCGTGGATATAAACACGCACGCATATAAGTTTGTACGAAAGGGGACGATGATTCGTGATAGCATTAGCAAATATTCCATTGTGTTCAGCAGGATGAAATTAGTAACAGCAGTCTCGCAATATTTTAGGGAACTAAGCATTACAGATTTAGGTTAAATAAAATTATTTTTCTTTTTTTTAGGGCAGCAGTAGCTCTAGCAGCAAATCAACCATCCACATCAAAAGCTGCAGGACAGACCACATTTCAGAAACAAATCAAAGAAAAAATAAACAAATAATGCTGTTCCAAATATTCTGTATGTTGCTCAAAATATATTGTGTTCAGGTTTTTTTTTTTTTTACCCAGACATTTAAAATTAACACATTTTAGAGCTGTAACAACAATACCGTGAAACCGTGATATTTTTGCTTAAGGTTATCATACCGTCAAAATCTCATACCGGCCCATGCCTATAAGCAACGCACGAATGTTTGGTAACTAAACCCCTGACAATGTCTGCAGATCCGATCGACTTGCGACTTTTCCTGCTCTAGTAACTGCTGAATCATAGCTGCTGGCCTACAACTGCAGGCAGAGCGTCTGTTATGAACCAGCGGATCTCAAACAAACACTCACTGGTGTGTGTGTGTGTGTGTTACGAGCTTCAGAGGAGGTGAGAGAGAAGAACTTGTGTAGCATAACCAGAGGAGAAAGCCTTCAAATTAAAAGCCGACACTTGACGTTAAAAATATCTGATTAATTTCAAGTTTCTAGTTTATACAGACAAAATTAACAAATACAATGTAATTCTTTTAAAACCGCCATGCTATAAATGCTAAATAATTAAAATAAATATTAAATAAAGTCAGCATGACATGAAAACATGTGTTCCGCAAGTAAAATCATATTCATTTTTGTCCTTTAGGGAAGTGGTTTTTAACGACAATTACTGTAAGATTCAAGGTTGTAATTGATGCTTACGTTATTGCATTATTTTAACTTATTTTTTAAATAATCATGTTCAACAGGAGAATTCCTGGTGGAAAAGTACATTACCCCTAATTATGCAAAGAAATCTCCAAGAATCAGAGAACTGTGACGAGCAAAACACGCTAAAGAACTCCCATGACGTAATTGAGCCAGTCTCCCTACACTCTCGAAAGTGACGTGACATGTGGCCAAGTATGGTGACCCATACTAGGAATTAGTGCTCTGCATTTATCCCATCCTAAGTGCACACACACAGCAGTGAACACACACACACTGTGAACACACACCCGGAGCAGTGGGCAGCCATTTATGCTGCGGCGCCCGGGGAGCAGTTGGGGGTTCGGTGCCTTGCTCAAGGGCACCTCAGTCGTGGTATTGAAGGTGGAGAGAGTGCTGTACATTCCCTCCCCCCACCTACAATCCCTGCCGGTACGAGACTCGAACCCGCAACCTTTGGGTTACGAGTCCGACTCTCTAACCATTAGGCCACGACTCAAACTAAAATATTTGGATACATGTGCATATTTATTTCAACATTTTTAAATTAACACTTAGATTTTTTTCTCTCAATAAAGCCATTCAGTGCACAGTCTTGCAACTTTGCTTTGAATCAGCGTTTGTAATATTGTAATACACCTCATAACTGCAGCTCGTCAGAATGCTCTCGATGGTGCCTTTGTAGAAGGTGCACATGATGGGGGCCGGGGCTCTGGCTCTGGCTCTGGCTCTTGAATTTAAGACATTTTAAGACTTTTTAAGGACCCGCGGCCACCCTGTGGTTGGTTTGGTTCATGGTTTATAACTTTCAAATGATTCATCAGTATATATTAGGGGTGGAACGGTTCAACTTTGGTTTGGTTTGTATCATGGTTTTAGAGTCATGGTTTCGGTATGGTTTGGTATGTGCTATGTTTAGGCAAAAACTATACTGTCAAATAAAAATAAAGAAAATAAGAACAATCTATCTAACTACAGGCAACAGCAAAAATAAATCCAACAGAGTAAAGATACAAATAAAATAAACAGTGATTTTCAGTTTTTTTTTTAGGTAGGTCTAACATTAGTTTTTAGGTACAGAAATTGAATAAAGTAATGAAATGTAAAACAGCATTGGATATTTGACTGTATAAATTAAAGATTAATCTTTAGTTTATTAAAGTTACAAAAGCTATTCAATCAAGAGCAGTGAGTGATTTCTTTGTTGTTGCTGTTTGATTAATATTAAGAAAGTGCTGTCACTTTAATACACTGTAAGTACATTTAGCCAGCTATGTCTGCTATAGGATACTTACTAAGACGGGCATTTTGACATAATTTCTGTGTGAATTTGTCTATTTAAACACAATACTTCAAAGAAAGCTTAATATTTGCGTGCGTTCTGGGGCACGGGTTTGCACGCTTCGGATGAGCGCACTCACAAATCTTCTCACTGCGCGCGCGAGCTCGCGTCCTCTGGCTCTTAAATGTTTCAACTGGAAAGGCTTAAACGAGTTTAGCTTAAACACAGATATCAACGTGTGCTGTTCAGGTCTCACCTGTGCGCGCGCACTATCAGCACCCAGGTGATGACGGAATAAATGACTGCTCATATTCCAGCATACAGCATTCGTATTGAACAAGAGTGAATGGTTTGTCCATGTTTTTTTTTTCATCGCTGTTGTTGTAATGTATTGGGAAGCCAGAATGCGCATCCATCAACAAAAACATACATTAGCCGAACCCTGTTTGTTTTACGTGTTATTTATAGCAAAACATATATTACAGATACGTTGTCAGATTTAAGTTGAACCGCGGTCGTAGCGCGTGCCGAACCGTGTGTGGAGAACCGTACGGTTCGATTTTTTTCCGCGAACCGTTCCACCCCTAGTACATATTATTCAGAACAAAAACATTTTTGTCTTTGTAATCCTTACTTGCTCCGCCTCTGAAGCGACTATCACTTTTCAGCGGATGTCACCAATAAATACCTCTTATTTTATCCACCAACATTCTCCATTGGGGTAAGCAATGTCCACTTTTCATGATCCAATCAATTCCTAATAAATATAAATCAAGCCCCGGCCTTTTTTTGCTAAATATCCCATTTCACTAATAAATACGTATGATGACAAGATGTCAAATCATTGAATATCGTTTTAGGCTGACTTAAAAAAATTCAGTTTAAATCAAATTCTGTATAAAATGTCTATTCCAAGTCAAGAATAGAAAGACATCACTTATTTGGGATATAAACCAGAACGAAAATGCAAAACGAACTTGGGCATTGCATTGTGGGATACCATGCAGTGTAATTTAAAAAAGTTCTATGCTATGTTTTTTAATTAAATATCCTGTTAAACTTGGAATCACATTAGATTATTTAAGTAAAATCGGAAAATTAGATCATGTGATAGACTATAATATCACTGACATGAGTGAGGTGGGTTTAACTGGTTATTAGTGGTATAGTCTTGTAAAAGCTGATTGTGGCGGATGTTTGCGGGGTAAACAGGGGCTCATCAGGGTTTATCCCAAAACTTGACCTAATTCTGACAATCTCACATGTTCAAGCTCTTAACAGACGCCAGCCCTGCTGTGCTGCAGAATCTCACAGCAACAGGAGAACAGAACAGGAACTGTATTTATTTGGTTAAATGTATATCCAAGACTCTAATTGACATGGCTGGTGATTTTGTCATGACATAACAGCCAATACTCACGGCTGGCAGAGCTTGACCAGGTCGTGATCAGTGGTTCCTGGTGGTAACCCGCGGATGTAGAGGTTTGTTTTGCTGAGTTGCTCCCAGCCGGTTGTGCTGCTGCTGCTGCTACTGCTGTTGTTGGTGCTGCTATTGGTGCTCGGGCTGGGCGGGGCCATCGGGAGGGTGGGCGGAGCAACAGGAGGCTGTCATGGGAGCGGAACAAAGATTTCATTGATTTGATAAATGGAAATGCATAGAAGATGACATCACATAATGGCTGCACTGAAACACAAAAATAGTGACTTCCAAAACAAACCACGGGCACACTTCTCTTTCTTCTACACTATAAAGAAAATATCCACACTAATAACGTAAAAAGAAAATGCCCCCACCTGACTCTCCCCTCAAACACGCTGTGGCAGGGCAACTGCCACATTTATCATGATGATATCTTTAACTTTATCTGTAGTAAACTGGTGTTATTATTACACAGTCAGTCATCGCCAGTGAGTCTGCCCACATCCACAGCTCCCTACAGTCTAATTCCCGTTAAAGCGAAGCACAAACAGGCCTAGAGGCACAGTCGGTCCTTCGACTCTCATATCAGTCCAATCTACGCATTCTTCCAGAGCTGAATGTGTTGGGATTATTCCACTGGATGAAAGCCCATAAAACTCTGGAGAAGTTCCTAATGCGGCATCAGTTCCTTTCAACGTTTGCCACATGGCTGTGTGCAATGATTAAAGGGACAGTTCACACAAAAATTAAAATCATGGCATCGTTACACACCCTTATGTCATTCCAAACCCAACTTTTTTCTTCAGTGAATCACAAAATGGAGATGTTTTAAAGAATGTGCTGGCTGCTCTTTTCCACTCAATTATAACCAATGGGGTTGGAAGTTTTCAAGCTTCAAACAAGATGGAAAAGTATCATAAAAGTAGAAATTTAAACCGTAAATCTTAGACATATCTTTGCTTGTGAACGAATTGCGTGATTTTTTTCCCCAAACAAGCCTCGCCTCACAGCTAAAAATGTCATTGGTCATGTCAATCAGAGTGCCGACTGCCTACATAACACTGAAACAAATTCTAACCTCTAATACTAACCTTAAAGCTGCAGTTCGTAACTTTTTTTGATGGCAGATTGTAATCCAGAAAGGATTAGCCTATGTGTTTATGAAACACATGTGACTGAAATTAAATTATATTCCAGTTTTAAATGTGCATCTGATTACAGATAGTCAACGTGGGATTACACAAGTTTTGTATTTTAAAGAGAACCAGTTCTAAGGAAGAATAATTGGCTTTGTGGGTTAAAAGAATTTCTTTATATGAAATTCAAGTGGTATGACAATTAGAGATTAGACTGTACAGAAATTGAAATCTACATGTATACATGTAGTCACGTAATGCTGATGTTGTTAACAAACAATTTGAGAACAAAGTATAACAGTAATAATAATTTGCACGCTTTGATGTGATATGAGCTAAGTGATCATTAGATTTAATAACAATAATAATAATTTGCACGGTTTGATGTGATATGAGCTAAGTGATCATAGGATTAAATCACCATTGTAGCACGATTTATTGTAATGCTTTTTTCCTCAGCTGGTCAGAACAAAAGTGTCAGACTTGTTACTTACTGTTTGGATGACAATATCCGGTGAAAATTCTTATTTGGGTCATATATTCCAAGACGTAGGCTAGAATCTGTGATTCCGAAGTACAGTATCCACAAGCCACACATTAGATTAATCCGCGCTGGAGCCGTGCCAGTGCACAACCCACTTGCAAGGAAGATAATTCTTGCAAATAACTGCAATTGCAGGTTTCAAACAGAGATGGCAACAAAGAGGCAAAACTTATGGACTGCAGCTTTAAGCATAGTATAGTGTAAATCCTGATAAATAGTATTACTGTTTGTCAAGATCGGATCCATCCACAATACTTCTAAACTCTAAACTGAATCCATTAAGTCTGAACATTTCTGACTAGGGCTGGGACAATAAATCGATGCATTGCAAATCGAGAAATGATTCTGCATCGATTCTGAGATTTTCCGAAGGCATCACGATTTGCTCTTGAATCGATTCTGAGTAGGGCTGCACGATAAATCGCATGCGATATTTAATGCGCATCTTGTCAGAAAGCCGGTTCTGTAATCAGCGGTAAATCTCCATCACCTGCGGACTTTCACATTGAGCAGCATTAACTACACAGAGCCGTTGTTCACTGATGAGCAGCGCAAAAAATCACGCGAATATGAACGTGGTTTTGCGCAACTCGTCAGTGAACAACGGCTCTGTGTAGTTAATGCTGCTCAATGTGAAAGCCCGCAGGTGATGGAGATTTACCGCTGATTACAGAACCGGCTTTACTGACAAGATGCGAGTTAAATATCGCATGCGATTTATCGTGCAGCCCTAATTCTGAGCTTAGTATTTAACAGCAGATGGCACTGTGTGCTTTAGAAATAGCCGTATTCTGCTTGCTTCCAGTTCCTTACACACACACCACTTGAACCTAAAATAATCATTCATAAAGTTCGAAAAGGTTGAAGCGAATTACAAGGATGTTCACAGTGGGCTGTGTTTACATTAATCTCGCATCATAAAAGCCGATGTGCAAGTACATTTAACCACTTACATTACTCAGCCGAATGCACAAGCGCTCTTCTTCATGAGCATTTGAGTGTACGGTTAAAAACTAGCCTAGAGCGCCATCTGCTGTTAAAAATTAAGCTCAGAATCGATTCGAGAGAGAATCACGATGCATTCTGAAAATCTCAGAATCGATCCACGAATTGCGATGCATCGATTTATTGTCCCAGCCCTAACGAGTACGATTCAGTATCAGTTCAGTAATAGACCATAACCGATTATAACGTACTGACGCTTTACTGACGTCATTTGTCGCATACATGCTTTGTCGCAGTAGCATACAATGGCGGAGGAAGGCAAAATGCGAGTGAGAGTAATTAAAAATGCTCCAACTACTTTAAAAGCTGAAAAACCCAATGAGAACCCAAAAATCTGAAAAAAAATCTGACTGCTTGTATTTACTGACAAAATTGTATACATGTGAAGTAAAATTGAAAATTGAGGATGCAGTGCATCGTCAATGCATCGTGATATCGAATTGAACCGAATCGATGACATGATAATCACAATCAAACCGAACAGTGAGAACAGTGTAGGTTCACACCCCTAACTAAGAGATTGACTTGACCAATGAAATCGGCTAAAAAACATTCAAATGTGTTCCGGAACCAGATCGTCCATTTAAAAGGCACTTTGTTATTAATCGTAACAATTTTTTGGGCAAACTATTATTTTTTTTAAGATGAGAATACATCCTAAACCAAAAATCTTTAGAGAATTTACTGAGATATGTGGAAATGAAGACTTTATTCATCTTTTAGTGCTTGTTGTGTATTCAATTGGGGTTTGAGTTTGACTCAAGAGTCTCATTACCAAACCGCATTACTGAACTCACCACAGAGGCATGTTCATTCATACTGCAAGTAGCGTTTTCATCCATAAATCTGCTTTAGCAGCGAGGAAGGAATGTTTTCCAGAGAAATATCACATGATGCAGGAGTGCTCTGGGATACAGGATGTGTGGGCCTCTCGCCCACCCTGAGTAGTGGCCACCACAGCCCACATCACTGACTCACTTCCTTTTTTTTAGTCATTCATTAAAACGGCTCCATTTCTCCCAGCAGTCACAAAATGGCTGCCTGTTAAACATCAGCGGGTGATTGTTCACAGAACCAAATCACCGCAAAAGTGATGGCAAAACCTCAAAACCACAGACACGGTTAGAAAAGACAGTGGCTCTGGCTCTGAAACTATTCTTAAATGCATGCATAAAAGCGCATGTGAATAAGTGTGTGTTCACCTCTGTCGGGTTAGTGGGAGTTCTCCGTTTTTGACACACTGACCCATTTTCACATGAGCGGCTCACACACTTGTGTGCTGAGGTGAAACTGGACTTGGCCCCATAAGCTTGTTAGCGCCTGTTAATTACTGAGGCAAGAGATCGAGCCACTTTTCCTTCCACAACAGCGTGAAAATCACACGCTGAGAGAGATGGATGACTTGGAGCATTGTATAGCAGATTTATGGGAAGAATTTCTTGGAAAACACCCAAGGATCTCATGCAGCATATCCACAAAATGAAACGAGAAAGGTGAACAGGACAGACAGATGGAGATCCTGTCCTAGTTTCCTCTTCAATCTGTCAAACAACTGTATAGCTGATCATTTTCACACATTTTCATGATTAAAATACATTGATTTCAAGTGCTGTATAAAAAGTGCTCACAGACTCACAGGGAACATGTCCAGTTTATCAACTGGGAAAATAACAAAGTCATGGGAAGGGTATCTAAGGCATAGAAAAAGCAATGGGAGAGGGAGAGGGAGAGGGGGTCACATTCAATATCCAAGCCATCTCTCATACGTCGGCATGTCCCTTGGGTCCTGAGCTATGCGCTGTAGTCATCCTAAACCATATGGTTCCTATAAACTGTGAAATCCTGAAGCCCATTAACTCCTGCTGCCTCTATCACAGCCATCACTCTGAGCTCCACCACATGAGCGCCTATGCAAATGCATGTGTAAATGTGTGATTGTGTGATGTGTGTGTGCGCGCGTCATCCATAAATTCGCACATCTACAGATTTGGAATGTACAAACAAGCAATGTTCAAATAGAATTCCACGGGCCACACCCTCTGTTGGCCCACCACTTGCTGGAAAATATTCTATTAACTCATGAATATTAATTAGGCAAAGATTCTTCAGAACACACCCAAGAATCTCCTGACACAAGTTGCCATGGGAGACTTTCACCACAGGCTTCTCTCATCCTCATCTCCTTTCACTCATTAACACTGAATATGCTAATATTCATCTTCTTTTTAAAAAGACAGTTACTTTAATGGGATACTACAAGATATCTTTAACAAGTGCAATATGACAGGAGGAATTCACTGAAGAACATGTCTGATGCATGTATGTCATAAATGAGTGTTAGTAAAATGAAATGACACTTCATTAGTCTCATTTCTATTTCTGGGCTCACTGTGACATCCCAAAGCAGGAAAAAGACACTTCCAGTTCCGTCAACAGACTTTATAAATATTGCATTGTGCAAGTGCAGACGAAGCGGTGTTGTGTAATACACCAAATTAACATAAATGGATAAGATTAACATCCAAAAAGCCCTAATGACGAAAGAACTCACGCAAAACCGAAACCAGTTACTTGAAAGGCAATGGTCGCATCTCAAATCACAAACGATCTGCCTACCTAGACCGTATTTTTTGGTATCATAGGTGCGTGCATAATTTTCGTCTATCATAATCCCGTTCCGAGTTAGCAAAGATCAAAAACGCCGCACGCTCCCTAAAATGCTGTCTAGGTAGGCAGCTCGCTAGATGTTGAGACACCGCCGCTGCGCGCACGCGAGCAAGAGGAGGTAAACACATTCTGTCCCAGGTAAAGGATCTACTGACCCACTGCGAGTCCATCATCCTGTAGTCTTTATCATTATTACCATTGCGATGTCTCACTTCACCTACCTGCTTTCGATATGACGGAGTTCTCATTGGGTTGGCCGTATTTGCGAAGATCATCCTGTATTCCCGTGTTATGTGACCCAACGATTAATTAAAAAATCTACTCTCAAAATCAGTTGATATCAGGTTACAGTAGAGAGCTGTAAATTTTCCACATCGCACACTTCAATGTTGGCTTCGGAGTGAAGTGATAATCCGTGCTTTGAGCAGATAAAGGTTTCTGCTAAATAAAAACCTCGCTCTTGATAGATGCTTTATTCCCACCTTTGCTCGTCTGAGCAGTTTCGGTAAATCGCCTGGTTCATTGATCTCGGTTCTGTTGCCCGCAGCGAGGACCCACCTACTGAGGAACGATCCATTCTGCAGTCAGGCGGCAGGGTGGTGGCGTGTCTAATTAATCGCACATGGCGAGTTTTTCCGACAAATACAACTAAATTATAAACATGCGTGATGTATCTACCTATATAAAACGAATATGTTTAAAACTCTGACACAAAAACAGACACAACTCGAGTGATAATTTGTTAGCGTCAATCGTTCCCCCCTACTTGAGGTTTGGTTCAATCCCGCACGCATGCAACACATTCCACTACCTAGCCATCAGATCCCATCTACAACACACACAGCAGACTGTCCCACTATAGCCTGAGTTGAGGTCCATGCATACAGATACGCCCTAATTAACACTTTTATTCATATATTTGAATAATTAAAAGATACATTCAGTATTTTTTGCCTATTTAAAAAGTTTCACACGTAAAATATTGAAAAGCACTTTTAAGAAATGCAATTAAAAATACGTGTTTTGTTCTATTTACTTAGTGAGCAGGTCGACCCCTTATGGGCACAGGGCACTGCCATTTTTAATGCATCCAGATAGGTGTTCATAAACAATCCCAAATCTTGTGTACTACTACTATTTATAAATGAGCACCAGCTACACCCAAACAAAATTGATTATGTATTGAGTGCATAAACTAGGCTAACTTTCTAACGTTGTGAAATTGATAGAAACAGACAAAAGTCCCGTGTGGTATTTAATGGCAGGGGTTGTGTGAACTAGTTCCCTCCTGCAACAGTAATAACAAGGCTGAAATGAAATGACACCTCCTACTTAGAGGGTTGCCCAGGGCATGTCTTATCTACTTTTTGTCATGGTAATGTTCCTCTGTAATCACACTTCACAGCTTATGGACTGATTCCAGGAACACCTAGTGTTATTCAATGACAGTTTGCAATTTGGTGCAGGACAGATATTAAATTAACTGAAATGCCACAAAGGTGTTTGAAAGGGAATGAGAACGTGTTTGAGCGCTCACTCGACTAGTGGCTTGTTAAGTTAGTCACTAAGTCTTTCTCATGCTTCTGTGATTGAAAACAAGCATGTTTTTTTCCTGGGTGTCATGTAACAGTTTGCATGTTTACTCTCTAACGAAAGCTGTTACAGTGATATTGCTAATTTTTGGTGTCCAAAGACACCGTTGTGGACTGAGAATGATTTTATCTCATCACGTACCCGCTGAGTGTGATTTCTAGCTCCACTTGCGATGTGATGTGTGTGAGAGTTTAGTGAGGCAGAAAGCCAGAGTGAATCAGGGTAGAGGCCAGAGCTCAAGCTGATTATATGCATGTGAAAAGCAAAATGTATGAAAAGTGTGATGGAGGGAAAGACGAAAAGTAAATTTTCTTCATTAAATTATTTCTCTCATGATAAAACACACTTTCCCTAAAAATATTGATCTTTCGTTAAATTAAATGAAGAGTGCAATGCGAAAGAAAGAAGCTGCTTTTATCCAAAGTAATTTGCAACTTGGTAGCCTATAGTGTACTACCTATAATTATAAGAAGAAGAAGAAGAAATTAATATATGAATATTTAATAAAAGTTTAAATGCATTTTAATAAAATACAACTTTATGTATATTATTTTGACAAAATATATTACTAAGTAAAACTTTTTAGGTGATCCCGAAATTTTTTTTTTTTTAAAGTCACAATCTGACTTTCCACCACTGACCACAAAAACAACCAAAAACCACACCAACACCAACCAACACACCACAGTCAACTTGACAACCCCTGCTGAAACAAACTGTATGTTTCACTACTTGATTTTAGTTGTATGCTTACGTATATATAAAAAAAAAAGCCTGGCACTCAGTTACAATTTGCTAACCATTAGCGAAAATAAAATAAAATACTTCCAGTGATTGTCTTTATACCAACAATCATACTTATATGTCCAATCAATCTTTGTTTGTTGTGTGTCATTATAGTCTTTTGGGACATCGCAGGTGCAAAGGGCCGCATTAAACATAGTTTAATATTGACTCTGCAATGCTGAGCTCTGCTGAATGCATTTTAATGAGTAAGTATACACTCTCACATATGACCCCTGCTGCGTATGCGCCATTTTAACCACAATCTGCATTCATATCATAAGACCAATATGTGTGACCTTTTATCGTGTCTCATTTGCTGTCTAAGCAAGAAACATGGCTTAATAATTCCCACTGTGATTAGTGTCATCTGTCAGGGCGTATTGTGAGTCTAAATCATGCAATTAGGCAGTTCTTTTCACCCCGTGTCAATTAGGGGACTTGATTTAGACAAGCTCTTTTAAAGTGCTTGAAAAGCCAGCCATGTTCTGTATTCTCTGTTGCGAGCGCTCGAGTTCGGTTCAGCGAGGTGGCTTTTGTTCGGCCCGGTCAGGTCTCCATTGGACGGATGAAGGGAAATTCAGCCCAGGCTTTGTATCTCTCCAGGGGTGAGTGCCTGCACAGCACAGGGTCAGTTACTGAACACCAGAGGTCAAACAGAATGAAGCCCAGCAGTCCATGAAGCTGCAGGGGAAAATTCAATAGGTCAACAGAGATGGGAAAGGAGAGGGAGAGAAATTGAGAGGTAGCTCTGATTCAGCATTGCGGGAGGTTGAGGAGAATCAGAACAGCAGATTGTGTCTGTAACAGTCTGTTCAGAGTGTCACGTTGGCAGGTGAGCCTCCGGCTTCGCAGTAGCTGCTGTATGCAGTAACATGGATATTTTGATTATTATGCAGGAAAAATATTTTTTTGTTGTTGTGTTGCCTTTGTTTTTTTTGTTAATTTTAGGACTTTGATACCTCCATTTTATATGGAATTTTATTCCGCCCACCAACCAAAAACATAATTGCTTAGAAAAGTACTGTCCATATCTTTCATGTGAATGAATTTCCTTTGTTTGCTTTCACTTTTCCTCCCCATAATGTCTGAAATTTGTATTACAAGCACTTTTCATGTTATCATTTGCATATTTTTTTGTGATAGATCGCTTGTATTTCTCATTTGTATGTCGCTTTGGATAAAAGAGTCTGCTGAATTAAAGGGGTCATATGATGCTGCTAAAAAGAACATTATTTGGTGTAATGAAATGTGTTTATGCGGTTTAAGGTTAAAAAAACACATTATTTGCCACATACCATACATTATTGTTTCCCCTCTATGCCCCGCCTTTCTGAAACGTGTCGATTTTTACAAAGCTCATCGGTCTGAAAAAGCGAGGTGTGCTGTGATTGGCCAGCTATCCAGTGCGTTGTGATTGGCCGAATACCTCAAGCATGTGACGGAAATGTTACGTCCCTCACCATATTGTGATGATCAGCGCAAAGTTGTAGTATTTCCTCAGCGACCAGCACGGATCAGCTCCAGGCATGACGAAGCAGATATCGTCGTCTTTTGGAAGACCAAACAAAGTAGTTTCGCTTTCACAACGAAACACACAGCGCCTTCACGACATGGCGGCGGCAACAACAATACTACAGCGAGAATAAAAGTTACGCCTTCTTTCTTTGCGTGAACATTTGGGCGGCGTTATGCAAATCTTCCCACATAGTGAGGTAGATATGTGGGGGTGTGTTAGAATGAGCCGTTTTAGGTAGGTGTGGCTGACTCTTAACTTTTATAAAGAATATCTCTTTGGATTTGAGACTTTAGTCTTTGCAACTTTACAGATCTTCTTTATGCAGCAAGAGCTCGTAACACTCCAAAGAGAAAGGAAAAATTGAAATTGCATCATATGACCCCTTTAATAAACGTAAATGTTCAGTACTTAAAGGGATAGTTCACTCAAAAATTTTAATTCTCTCATTAATTACTCACCCTCATTTCGTTCAAATAGCATAGCGATAATAGCAGTGGACTGACCTGGAAAAGAAGAAATTGTTGAATAAAGTCATTATTTTTGTTTTCTTTGCAGACAAAAAGTATTCTTGTAGCTTCATAAAATTACGGTTGAACCACTGATGTCACATGGACTATTTTAACGATGTCCTTACTGCCTTTCTGGCCCTTGACCTTGGTAGTTCCCTTGCTGTCTATGGAGGGTCAGATTTCCCAAACGCTATTCTTGTCTTTCTTGTCAGGAAGTCCAGCCCCAAACTTATCTCATTGGTTCAGCCAGAACATCAAGCAAAGTGTTGTTCACAATTTTCAGGAAGTCAACCTATGAATGGCTTACTTAGTCATTAAACTAGTAGATTATTCACAGTAGTATGAAAAAAAATCTTCACATAATCTTTAATGTTATACTTAGTCAGTTAGATTTACACTAAAAATGTTACTGATACATAGCCATTAAACACACACACACACACATACACAGAATCATGTGGGTGTTCAGTCACTGTTTTCACATGCATTCCTCTTCCATTACACACACAGACTTTTCCACACAGTTACAATGCTGCAAAACAAAGCAAAAGTGGCTCATAGTGACTGGGCTGCTGCCGTTGCCATGCAACCATCTAAACGGAGTCAGTAAACAGTGTGTTGAGTCTGCGTGCAGCGAGAGTCTCGGCTCTTGTGTTTGTGCAATCCCCTGTTGCGTTCACGTCCTTTTCCATAACTTTGCAGGGCTGCACAAACAACAACCATGCTATGCTAACAGAGTTCACTCACAGGTAAACTCACACACAAACACATTCACAATACAGACTCGCATACACTGGAGACACTTGACAATGGCGTATTTTAAAGGGCCGGTGGCCTCTCTCAAGGCCAAGGTTTAGAGAGTCAGAACGCTTGGCTTTATGCCCAGACACAAATAGAGCAGTTCAGCGAGCACGTGCTTTCTTTCTCTCTCTCTTTCTACAACACTCTAATCTCCCATGACACACTCATGAATGGCAGCAGAGGAAAGGTCAAGCCCACAGTACAGACACACAACTTTACCTGACACCTACAACTATTTAGATTTTAATTTACTGCTCGTTGTTTCCATTAAATAGCCAATGGGAAAACGTAAACATGCGTGA